CCTAGTGAAGGAGCGGGCTCCGAAGCGACTGAATGACACGTAGTCAATTGACGTGAAAATTGGAATGGCAATGACGTAGTAGAAGCCAGCTGATGGGCCGAAAAGATGGGACTGAAAGTGAGTGAGGGCTGGCAAAAGAAGTGAGGTGACCACAACAACTGCAAAGAAAGCCACAGGAAACAAGAGTGAGAGGGAGGTGAGGAGAGAGGATGAAGGGATGTGGGAGATGTGGTTTGAGCGTGCAAGATGTGGATTTGCAGAGGTCAGCAGCGGCGCCAAGGAAGACGGAGAAAATTCACAGTAGCGTGCCGAAAACACCACTTTAGTGTGGTGAAAAGATGTTGGAGATCACAATAAACGGGAGGTGTCGCGGCAATCAGGCACAAAAATGCAGACAATGCAATAGAAGTCCTGCAATTGGATCGCAAATCAATCGGAGCAGATTCCACAATCAAGACCCTCAATGGCCTATTGAGAGGGAGCAATGACGATGATATTGTTCTACTTGTGCTTGTGTTATATCAGCATCCACCTGCGCCTGCCAGCACTCGCTTCCGTCCCAAGTCATCAGTCATGGATTGTCAGTGCACTTCCGTCTGATGAAGCGCAACGGCTGACGCGCCAGCACAGATAGCCCAAACGGAGTCAAGCGCAACAAGCATGCAGGTGGCGATACTGACTTCAAGACGAGCAGGGTGCGGGGAGCCTTTAAAAGACGATATTTTCTCAATTCGGGGATATATGCCATCGAGCCTAGGCATGCCATTCTAAGTCCCCAAGAATACTCGTTTCTCAAGGGCCGAACAGTGCCGTAGCTCGATTCACCTCCTCACACGTTTGAAACGGGCCAGATCGGCGCAATCAAATGAACATCAAGGGGCAAAAAAAATACAAAAGAGAAATCATTCTCTCAAGAGAACCACACAGCTATCGGAAATTGAAGCGACTTACTGAATGTTCAAAAATGGGCAGATCAAATGCAAAAGAGATATTGGTTGCAGACTTTCAAATCGGAGGCGGTTCAAAATGGCTGCAAAAGAACTTTGATTTTTTGGAAACTCCCACGACAACGAACACAAGATACACAAGATGAGAAGAGAACCTTGAACCCGTGCGAACGAAACACGCAGGAAAGGGGAAAAAGGACGAGAGCGGTCAAAAAACGAGGAAAGGCGAGAAGGAGGGGTTGGCGTGAGCAACTCGGTTGATGGGGAGAAGGAAGAAAGAGGAAGAGAAAAGGGAAAAAAAAAGAAAAAGAGGAGGGGAAGGGGAGGAGGAAGGGAACGCCGGAGAGAAAAAAAATAGCCTCAGAGGAGCGAAGATGAGGAACCAGACTTTCCTTGCTACGATCACACCCTCGATTACACACTACGATTAAATTCCGTGTCCCATGGCCGCGTCTTGAGAGATAAAAGAGGGTACCAGAGAGAGGCGAAACCCATCCCAAGAGCGGAGAAAAATTACTAAGGTTACCAGAGAATTCAATTTCTCCTGGGAGGAAAAGAGAGACGAGGGGCTCTGTGGGAAGCCCGTTCGACAAGGTTAAAGTCGGTCTCATTGACTTCTCTCGTATCGATGTTCACGGTCAACGCGACAGGCATTCCACGGCGCTGAATTGCTCTCTTCAGTCATGACGAGGGCCAGAAACGGAAGAAAACCCCAAGCCAATGATGCAAGTGGAAAGGAACGCATTTTGTCTCGGCCCAACGAAAGAAATAATGTGCCTGGCATGCTCGGTATTTCGCTGTGGAGGAAAATCACAATTTACACATAGGGCTCACACAACGCCCGTATTACCGTCATGCCGGTGTATCCAACCCGTGCATAGCCACAATTGCCCGGTGTCAAACCCATGCGATTGGCCAGGCCGCGGTTGCTGAGTTACCACTAGTGTACCCAGGATGTACCACGCGCGATGGACAAGAAAAGGGGACTTCCCATTCCGAAGTCATGACGAGAAGGACCACGAATGATTTGGTGCAAAGTCCTCGTGGATCTGAGCATCTGGCCAATAATCGGCCATCCCAAGCAGTTTTCATCTGCAAGTCATGGATGAGAGCGATGCTTGCGGAGCCGACAGGGATTAGCGGTATGTTAGCCTGTCCCCCACCCCTCCCTCACACACGGCAACCACACACACACCCATCTTCCTCTTCTCTCGAGCAGGCTGGCTTGCGTTTCATCTGGATCTCACAGGCCTCGTACCTGCATTGAGCGAAACATATTACTTTGGCTCAGTTTCAGGAGCTCCCAAGTAAGCTCTCTTAACTACTTGTGATGGCAAACTTGCTTCCATAAACTTCTTGGGTCAGGTTTGGAATTACGTGCATTTCGCGGTGGTGCGCCTGGAACATTCCTCCCTCCTCGATGACGTGACCGTGTTTTCAGGCCATTTCCGTATGATTCGAACGTCATAACATCCAGCCACCAGCACTGTGGAAAACAAATACTCCCTTCTGCA